GGACATTATGATACTGGCTGATCTGTTTTCAATACCCTTCCTAATAATCCCCAGCATAGCATTGGCCTTTTTTCTTGCAGTCACATGCTGAGGAATTTCACATTACCCTTTTAAACCCGTTTTGAAGCCGTTTTTGATCCATCATGGAGTAAACTGGTATAGGGCTGCTATTTCACACATGGCTTTCCCCATCCGGTAAACAGCTGGATCTGAAATGGTTTGCCATTTCAGACTGCACCGCTTTTTCCCAGTTTTTCCCCGCCATTTTTCGCCCATGCGGGCAATCTTCGGCTTTTTGGGGGGGGGGGAACGTTCGCTTTATAGCACTATAGCACTATAACAAAACACTCCAGGCATTCCAATGGCGTTGATATACTGCTGTTCCGTTATAGCGCTATAATGCTGTAAAGCGAACGCCCCCCCCCAAAAAAGCCGGAGATCGCCCGCGTGGGCGAAAAACGGTGGGGAAAAGTGCATCGGAACCAGGAGAGGAAACTGAAGACTACTTAGAAGCGGTTGACAGGTAAAACGCTTCAGCCCCGTTTCCTAAACGGGACAGAAGCATTTGTGTCTGAAATTACAAATATATTCCTGTAGGGAACCGGTTCTAAAACGGTTCTGTCTGAAATAACAGACCAGAAACCATTTGGGAACCGTTCCTCTTCTGAATTATATCGTCTGTCTGAAATTCCTCTCGACATTTTCAGTGAGTTATCTACTACAACTCCAAGATCTCTCTCTTGATCAGTCTCTGCCCAGCTGAGCAAAGATTTTACATGATTGACAACAGGAAATCTTTGCAGTCTTCAGAACTGCCTTTGTTGAAATAGGAACAAACAGAACTAAAGTATTTCAGTTTTAACTTAATATGTAAAATGAGCTGGATTCAGTCTAGTTCTTGTTAATGTCAGTGAAAATGAAATGGTCTAGCTAAACTAGCTGAGTGGATAATGAAGTATTTCCTGCAGTAGTTCACAATCATCCAAGTTACATTTAGTGCAATCATACACTGACTCAAATCATCCCAAGCAACAAGTTTCTGTTTATTTTTTTATTATTTGGACAATTTATATACATATGTACAAAAACACCTATGCCTACTTTTTTGTTTTTGTTTTTACAATTTCATGTGATTTACAAAACAGGACAGCAAAATAACTTAGAAAGAATACGAATACTGTACAAAAATAAAATGGATTAAACTTGTAAAGGTTGGTATTTTACAGTGTTACAGATGGTTAATCTGTAGTAAAACAGCATTTGAAGAGTATGTCCAATCTGGTGCATACTGGGCTAAGTCCATCGGCAAATGGAAAAGAGACCTGTATAGAAGTCGTCAAAATTGTTCACAAAAGATGTTGTATAGCTATAGTTTAAAGCCATGGCTTCTCTAGGAAGGTCTTTCTGAACCAAGGAGAGGAGCCGTCTCTCTTAACGTCAGCACTCTTTTGAGTATTTCCAGAGTAATGTGGCAAATAGGTTCTCAGATAACTTTTCTTCTCAACACTTGCAATAGTCTCTTCCCAAATTCCCTTTTGTAAAAAATACAACTGATTTTACTACATTGTAAAGTTTGCACATGAAATTCACTACTATCTTTTACTCCAAAGTGACAAACATTTCCCCATTTTTTTTAAATTGGTGGTGGTTAAGAAACTGGGTAGCTTACTTTTGGAAGACTCCTAAGAAGCATGACATATACCCCAATACTAATCGTATTTATTTGGAAACAAGTTCTATGCATTTCAATTAAACTTACTTTCAAGTAAGCATGCTGAGGCTCACAGCCAAAGAAACAGGCTTCTATTTCATGACCTCCTGGAGGTTTGTCCTAAATGTGTATTTTCTGGGGCACGAGTAGGTATGTTGCCCTTTTCCATATCACATTTTCATATATATTTCAGTCTATGTACACACTATTCAGCAAATGGGGCTGGGAGCCATTGCCACTGTGGAAGAGGGGAGGATTTGTAAAGGAGAAACTAGTGGTAACTAAATTCTCCCTTCCCACTCCGCCCCCCCCCCACAGCCCATCTCCGTGGCTTTCCTTCCTCTTGACTCTGCTCAAGGAAAGGCTGTTGGGGAGGTTCAGACAGGAAGTGATAGCTATGGAAAGCATTATGTATCTCCCATCCATACCTTCACCCCTGGAACCTCCTCCTGCTGCTGGGCCACCTTGTAGGGAAGTGACATTCAGGTATCGCAGCCCCATGATTGTTGCCAAACATACAGACCTGGTTATGCACACCCATATCTATTAAAGTAATTAAGGAAGCAATCCAGTGTCAATCTGTGGCCGAGGGCCTGGTGCACAGAATCACCCTGCTTCTGGCACCACAATAGCTGCTGTTCCCTGCCACAGTGGTTGTTTGTAACGAATGAGTTTTGTAATTGATTTACCCTTACTAGAACCTGTTGCATGTTACTGTTGAGCACGCAGTATTAAAGAGGTTAGCAGTGGCATACAGAAACATTCATCTCCAAGGCTGATGACCAACTTAGCAGTAACAAGCGACTACCGTAAGCAGGATGGTCCTGTGCACTTCTCTATAATGTCAACGTATTGCAAATTGTAATGTTGAGTGATGGCTGTTTGGGGGATATTTTTATAAGTGGAACAGTCCTTAGAGATAAACCTAAATACAAATTTGTACATTCTATGGTAAGTTTTGCACATGAGAATGTTAAGAGGGGAACAATTCACATGTTTTTGTTTTAAAATATACTCTGCCTACAGTGTTCAAGCTTGGATGCCTGAGCTGTGTGCAGAAATGCATTTTAGGGGCACAGCAAAGTATTACTCCAAGCTGTTTGGTGGTGTGATTAAGGCATCCCTATGTCTATAGCATTATGCAATTATGCAAAGGACCAATGAAGCCAGCATGGTGTCTGCACATCTTGGACTTCCCAATGGAAACAATCACATTAGAATTTACATGTGGACTGGAGGTGACCATGCAGCATGACATCAAGTAAGGCATGATCCCACAACCACTAGGAAAGTAGACAAATCCCCTAACCACTGTCCCACCATGTCTTTGCATCTTGTGCCCATGTGATCCAATTATTCGTCGAGGAGGTGGCCTGTGCCTGTTTCTTATGTTGGATTTTAAGGTGAAATAACAGCATTCAGCATCCAGCCTCTATGTAGCTAATACTGCACTTGTCCTACATCAGAGCAACAGTAAAGTCTGAGCAACTGTTGGATTAGTAGGACTCACATTAGAGTTCATACTCTTAATAATTGGTCTTATTGGGGAGGACAGTTAGAACGATACTATTGTTGTGAGTTGCTGGCCTACAACACGGTCCTGACCCCTAGTCAAACAAGGCAGCATTAACAGTACTGGTAAAGCAGAATACTTATTACACTAGAGCGATAGAAATAGCCAGGCTACTTGTTTGTATAAGGAAGAACAAATGTCCCTACAATTTATTTTGGACACCAGAAATTAATTTTGGTTTATCATAAAACAAACGTTTCAAAAAGCTGAAACGGAGGTAGAAAGTGTGCTTGGTTTCCTGACATGTCTTCACTGAAGAAAACTCATCCCTTTTTTGTGTTTGAAATCCCACAGATTGTTCAGTGCCCCTAACACCTCTATTTAGAAGCCATTTTCTTCGCATAGACACAATTTTTATAATGAACCAAACAGGTAAAAATGCTAGATGCATACTGAGTTCTAGTGCTGGAAGCCACGGACGATTGTAGAATACTCTACTCTCTGAGATGTTTTATTATTATTTTTCTAGGAAGCAAGCTTTTCATCAGGTGAAACAAGAAGATACTGTCATTGCAGGAGTACTTCACAAGATTTGTATGTACAGATTCTTTACAAAGATGGGTTAAATTGATCCTTGTATAACCCCACTGGCTGCAATGTGATTACCTCAGGGATGAATTTAGCCTTGGATATGACATTTGCACCGCTCCTGCCTTCTCTGCAAAGGAGGAGTAAAGAACAGCAGACCAGTAGAATGGTTCTGAGGGGGAAAGTCTGTAAACATAGTTCTCCACCATTACAAGAGATGGGGGAGGGAAAGTCCATGATAACAACCTTTGTAAGGTTCATGCTCTTAACATTAACAAAGATGAGTACTTGGCTAGATGTAATAGATTTCCTCCAGTGACTCCTTGGCTCTTCTTTTAAAGAGCAACCATTCGTTTTTTCAACAGATGAAATATTGCCATATCATTGAATGTTTCAAGCCTGACACACGGGGTAAAGATTGCAAGGTACACAGTGGCATGCCACAAGACATACTAAGACACACCTCCTGCATATTAGATATTCATGACCTCATTTTTTGTGGTTGTGGTATTGTTGTTTTTCCCGTACTCTGTACAACAGCTGCAATTTGTGAAAAAGGTAGAAGTCTCTTGAAAAGTACTTTTTTTAAAAAATGAGTTTTACTTGTCTCCATTAGCATAGGGAATGGTTTGTAAGGAAAAAAAGCTTCCATATACACACACAGTTCCCATTGGCTGTCATAGGAATCTGGCAAGTGGATGTAGAGGATGCACCTTTGAGAGAGAGAGATCATCACAAGGAAAAAACCTTTACAAAAGTGGTAGCTTATAAAGATGATAGCTGCTGTTATGCATTCATTCCAACGAAATACAGCAGAATTAAAGCACTGTTAGTGGTATTTATATAGTACAGTACAGTATATGGTTTTCAGATGAAAGTACAGGAACAACTGGGGTGAGGGAGGAAACCTGGTCTCCAGCTCCTGCTGCATTCTTTAGAATGACTTGTGGTGTTGTTCTTGTTTGCAAATGGCAACAGAATAATGGAGCCAATATACATGTGACATCAGAAGTAATCTGAGCTGATTTCTTGTTTTTCCTTTTTCTTATTGAAGTGGGTTGATGTCAGCATGTTTTCAGTGGAAAAAAGAACAGCTTATATTCAAAAGAAAGAAAGAAAGAAAGAAAGAAAGAAAGAAAGAAAGAAAAGACCTGGATTGTGTACCAAACAGGTCCTCATCAGTATAAATTTCAGCTTATTTATTTTCTTTAAAAAAATACCAATCAGCGAATATGAACACCAGATGTAATGGTTTTTTTCTTAACAGTCTTGAACAGGATGGGTCATTGAGAGAGTCGTGAATCTTCTTCTGAATATGTGCTATGGAGTTTTAATTGAGAAGTATCTGAGTGAGTTGGAAAGTGGTTTTACTAAACTTTTTTGTTTTTGTTTTAAATACAAGCAGCATTACATTAGTCAACAAAACATGTCCATGACACAGCAATCACAAAGAGCTTGGAATCACTACTGTGTTGTCACAGGTCAAACCACCCAGTCAGACATATATACACCAGTGTTGATTCTTTAAACTACAAAAAAGTTGCATTATTTCTGCTGATCCCCACACTGCCCCCCTCCCCACTCCCACCCAGCAGCCACTGGTTTAAGACTGTTGTTGGTAGCATAGCAGGGTGGACGGGACAAAATGTTAAACTTCCAGCTACGTGTGCTTTCAAAATGCAAGTAGGGGGAATTACTGTACAGTGGCGGACATATTTGTGCTGATCAGTTATGCCTGTTGCAACAATGGTTGTCCCCTCCCACCCAACCCTGAATTCTAGTCTGTCATTCAAAAGGAGGCAGAACTGGCCTTTTTAGATCGCTTGATCATGCTAGGATGGAACTCAGTGTGGCGACGGGCGTGCTTTGTCAGGTGGTCGCTCCTCATGAATCGCTTCTCACAAAGCGGACATCGAAACTGCTTCTCCCCGGTGTGGGTTCGGTAGTGCCGTGTTAGCTCATCAGAGCGGGAGAACTTTTTAAGGCAATCTGGCCATGTGCAAGGGAATGGTCGTTCACCTGTGGAAAGATAAATATCAAATGAGAGAGTTAAAGGAGACAGGAACACAATAGTTCAGGCTGGTTTTGTGAACTATACATCCCAGATTCAGGTGGGTTGGTCTGAAGAAACAGAACAAAGTTTGAGTCCAGTGGCACCTTTAACACCAACAAAGTTTAATTCTGGGTATAAGCATTATATCGAGAATTAAAGTCTGTTGGTTCAACACAGCCCAGAGGACTCAAAAAGAATTACAAAGTAACCTTAAATATGTCACTGGATTCATCAGTAGGAACAACTTTTATTAAAATCTTCTTGTGGCATAGGAGCGCCTCCTATTTCCCAAATGCAGTGGAACAGGTTGTTCACAACAGATAGCCCAGTTCTAGCAATAGGTACCAGAACTACCTCTCTAGAATCCTAATGGAGAGATTTTCGTATGATTAAGAAGCTGGGAGTTTGAACTTGGAATATCAGATATTAAAAGCATGAGCTTTACCACAGAGCCATAGCCATTACCATCTATACTCAGATACATAGCTTTCAATCTGTACAGAACAAATCAGTCATGTTTATTAATGTTTTTTAGCCCTAGCAGCAGAATAGTACAGAAATTTCCAGTGCTATGAAATATCAAGAGGTTGTTCGTTTTTAACTTGGCTGACCATGGACCTTGTAAGGACTGGGGGGTGGTGTGGGGTGGTATATAAGCAGAACATCAAGGAAATGACTGTGATCACACAACATATTCATGTGCATTTCGTCATTTCACTAAACTCAGAGAAGAAAACTAGATCACTCATAACTTATAGTCTTTACAGACCCTCAAGATCTGTCACTGCAATTCCAATTTAAAGAATATGAAATCAAAATACTCACCTATGCAGTGTTTGCTACAAAATAACTTACCTATATTAGTTTAATTTTTATTGCTGTTTTTAAAAATAGTATTTCTGTTGCCTTTTTGTTGGCTCCAGATGCATTCCTCCCAAAATACATATTTTTAAAAGTGAAAGATTGATTCAAAGTTGGTTGGTCAGTAACACAAAGTGTAGGCAAAATTAGAACTTCACAAACAAGTTTCTTAAAATACAAATGTGTGATAAGATAACTCACTTGTATCTACTGCTGTTAAGAGCTTGAGCTCAACATATCTCAGAAAGCATGTCTCGTCCTGACAGCAAAATGTGCTCAAGGAAATCCACAGAATGGTTTTGTGAACTAAACATTTTCATATTTAGTTCCTATTGATTTCTATAGTGTTATTATTACACAGTCTTTAAATCCCTTTTATGAATCTTTTCCCCATTTCAGAATTCAGTTCACACTAGCAAAGTCATCAGATCCAATTCTCAAGAAGCCCGTTTTAGACACACCAAATAGTCTAGCCTGGCGGCATGCTCCAACACAGCTTACCAGCTCAATACAGTCCACTAACCTTAACAGGCAGGCCCCTTATTCAGCAGAGTTATGGACCATTTAGGTTCCCTGTCATTCCCATATACCTTAAGCATGCAAACTGTGCACTGGATTGTGGTCCAACCCAATGATGATATAAAAATAAGTATGGATGGAGGACGTATCACAGAATTCTCCTGTCAAACAGAAGCTGCTTGGGATACGAGGACAGTTATTCAACCCTCATGTATGTATGGCTTCTGCTCTGAAAGCCAACCATCTGAGTCCTTCTATGTCTCACTGACTATTATGGTTTCAGTGCTTACCCAAACAAACAGAGATATATTTTCTTCAGTGACTGCCAAAGATGAATGCTTTTTATTGTCAAGCCCAGATTGGAATGGAATGTTGGTCAGAACATCATTTACTGTAAGATCTTCAGAACATTTCACCTGGACTGTAGCCAGTGTTGTAAGAGCCAAAGACTGTGTACAAGGTCAGCTTGGTCTTCTATGAATAATCTCTACAAACCTGTGTCAGTTTTCTCCCCCTCTCCTCTTTCATGTGCATGAGCAGCTTGTAAGACGTGATTAATTATTTTTGTATGTACGAGTCTGCTCATTCACACTCTCTCACACATGGCATCTTAATACAGTCAGCTGTAGCTGTGAGGAACAAGACTAAAATGATCCGCATTCCAAACAAATAGAGAAAAATAAATCTGCTGTACCTGCTACTCTGGCTGATTTGATTAAGTAAATTGAACTCCATCCCTCTCCCCGCCAATTACCTTAGATACATCAACAAGACCTGATCTGATTTAGTGTGTCAAAACCTGTCATCTCAAAGCAAAATGCATATAACTAATGACATAGCCATTTACCCTGAGCAAACAACCATTAGGAATAGCTTTTCCTCCTACAGACTGCTCTCAGAGAGACCAATATCCACATTACTGATCTGGGAAGATGACATAACCTGCCAGATATTCATACCCACTCACTGCTTCCAATCCTTTCAAACCCACTAGAGTGAGGTATATTTCAAAAGAAAATGTCAGTCCTTGGGTGGGCAGAAACAACCAACCTATACAGAAGATTGTTCATACTTAGTGCCTGAAATGTCCAAACTCTGTAGAAAGGGCAGATCTGCATGAAGGAATTCCAGACCCTGGTCACAGCCAGTGTTCCCTCTAAGCTGAGTTAGTGTGAACTACCTCACAGTTTTTTAGCCTCCGGCTCACACATTTTTGTCTTATCTCAGGAAGGATGGCTCCAGAGCAAACTAATTTATGCAGTAGCCAAATCACTCGCTCACAACTTTAATGCCAGTAGCTCACAAAGTTGAATTTTTGCTCACAAGACTCCATAGCTTAGAGAGAGCACCAGCAAATAAATCATGCTTATTTTTCAGTTAAATTGATAGTTGAGCACACAGAGAATTCTGGCAAGAATGCATGTACAGGAAAGTAGAAGTTGGTTTGTATGAAGGGCAAAGGGATCTTGCAAAGCACAGGGGCACTGAACCTTTGAACACTATGATGTGTCGCAGTTACCTCCTCCCTTCTAGAGCCCCATGTGTGTATTAATATATACAAAGTTTCTGCTCCCCTATTCACATCAACAGAAAGAACATTTTGCACATGCAAAGGGAATGACTCTACCACCAGAAAGCGCAAAAGGAAGCTTCCCATATGCATATATGCACTCCCGTATGCAGGAGGATTGGCAATAGAATCCTAAGGGGACAGCAGTTTATGTTTCTGAAAACAAGCCACAGAATGAAAGCCATGACTCAGAGATCAAGACTGCATCAACCACCATGCTCTAAATAAAACCCTAGACTTGACGGATATTGTCAGTCACACCAATGTAGATGGATACTGATGGTTTTGTTGACTCTCTCACAGATAATGCCAGTGCTTTTATTGGGTTTTAATACACGATTTTACTATTTTCTTGGATTGTCAACCATTCTGGGCACCCTTAGAGTCTCAGAAAGAGGGAGGTGTAAATGAATTAAACATAAATAGTAAACACAGATATGGATCATACTGTAGTGCAAAACAGATTGCTGCCAAGGTTATTAAAAGTCAAAATGCTAGTCACCCTGGGACCCAGTCAGAATACAGACCCCATTATATCCTCCAATTATATATTATTAGAAGAAATGCAAGGTATTTGGCTCAAGTGGTTAAGACGCTGAACTGCAGGCTGTGGAAGGTCAGTAGTTCAGCAGTTCAAGACCCGGGTGCCGCAAGACAGGGTGAGCTCCTGTCTCTAGTTCCAGCTCCTGCCAACCTAGCAGTTCGAAAGCAAGACATTGCAAGTAGATAAATAGGTACCACTTCGGTGGGAAGGTAACAGCGTTCTGTGCGCCTTGGTGTTTAGTCATGCCGGCCACATGACCACGGAAACGTCTTCGGACAGCGCTGGCTCTTTGGCTTTGAAACGGAGATGAGCACCGCAACCCTAGAGTCGGATTCGACTGGCTTTCGAGCAAGGGAACCTTTACCTTTACCTAGTTAAACTCCAACATAAAACCTAAAATGGGATACAGCAACTGCTTATAACTGAAAATTTTATTAACTCACGCAAATGAGAGTTCAAACAACTCTCACACTCAGGAGTGATATAATAATATAATTGCATGCCATCAAGTCACACCCAACTCATGGTGACTCCATGAAGTTCCACCTCATGGGGTTTTCAAGGCAAGAGATGGACAGAGGAGGTTTGTTTGCCATCGCCTTCCTCTGTGTAGCAACCCCCCCCCCCTTCCTTGGAGGTAACCCATCCAAGTAGTGACTGTGACCAACCATGCTTCGTTTCCAAGCTCTGACAAGATCAGGCTAGGCTGGGCTATTAGCCTAATGGGTGGGAAGAACTTACTAAACACCTAATTGAATAGATAGCCACTTGAACAGGCAGAAATTACTTAACAGTCATAGATCCAGTATGAACTAAAACATGCTTCCTTGAATCATTTTTGTGTGCCTAAAGATATGGGAGTTATCCTCCCATGGCTGAAAAAAAAAAGCACGAGGACGATCGGAAACACACACAAACCAGAAAACTTACAGTGCAATCCTATGCAGAGTCACTCCAGTGAAATAAATGGACTTGGATTAGAGTAGCTCTGCACAGGACAACATTGCACGGCACCTCATAATGTGTCATGGGAATTATTGTTACTGCATGGACAGCATGTTCTCAAATAGCATCCTAACAGGGATCTTTGCAAGATGCTCACCAAACCTCCTGGTGAGCCCCCACCCCAATATAACTAAGTCAAAACAGCGAGGAGAGTAATGCCCATAGCTGTCTTCATTGTGGGAGGCAAACACAAAACAAAAATGGAAAGTGTAGCTTGAGTCCACAGCATTTCTTGAAGTTTAGTCATGGTAGGTCTCTGTGCATTTAGCTCTGGATGAAATTCAAATAAACCTAAATGAGGTCTTGGATCTGATTGCCTTTTTTATACTACAGCTTGGAGACAATTGTATACACAGTTTGGTGTTGTGGTTAAGTGCGCGGACTCTAATCTGGGAGAACCGGGTTTGATTCCCCACTCCTCCACTTGCACCTGGCTGGATGACCTTGGGCAAGCCGTAGTTCTGATA